GAACCCCAAATCCCGGGTTATAAGGAAGGTTTGATCAATTTAACAATTATTTGTGGAACGGAAATTGAATATATTCTGAATAGCAGTTAAAATATAATTCAATTATTTACCATTTATAATTAAATTATATCCCATTTTGTTTATTATTTAAATTCAACTTTAAGTAAAATGTAAATTAGGTGTTAATTGCCCTAATAGTTCCCTTGAGTAAGATTAAGTGATGATGTCAGTCGCGTATTTATAATTGTGGAAAAGTGTCATTTTGCTTTATTTTGATAATAAGGTTAAGTTGTTAACAAAAATATCTTATAGTTACAAGCCTGTTAATAAATATGTGGTTTTTGTATGTGTGACAAAAAATCGAAGAGTGGATTGAACTTGTCGACCTGACAGTCGAACGTGCATTTTGTTTTCACAATATTATAGTTTCATAATCCATTTAAAAACAAATATTTGATCACCGCACGTTGCAAAATGTTATATATTTTGTAAAAATCTACAAATTTAATCTCGTTTGACACGGTTTACGTGAAAACCATAAAAGAATAAAAACTGGTTACGTATAATAATAATATTTTACTAATTAATACGTGAATCAAAACTTCGTGTTCCTTTTTAAGAGAATTGCGCTAAAGGATGGACGTAAAATTTTCGCAGCTGTAGTTAATGTACCGAAGAAGTGCACAAGAAAACTTTTTTAGGTGCATTGGAAATACTTTTAATCATTAAAAAAAACATTACACCCTACACTGACTGACACAACAATGTAATACCTCATTTTGTAAAGATTTTCCAATGAATGTCTTTCCTTGATATTATCGAATCGGAAAATGTGTGATGTCTCTTCAATATTTTAAATGTTTTTTCTGATGCGAACTTATTCTACTAGTAATTGTTAATGGCTACCCGTCAAAGCCTCTGAAAACGCAGAGGTTCCTCAAAAGTTTGTCCTCTACAACTCTATTTTTGTTGCAAATTTTCAATGCTATGCTATAATTCCGAGATATTTTTTTTACCGACATCTAATAGAGATGGAAAGAAAGGCTGTGGTAAAGTCTATTGATTTCTTTAAAAAATGTTGTAAAATTTAACACTACGGAAATACAAGCCTGTCCTTTCACCATCAAGAGAAGTCCGTTCAGATTCAAAAGATGACAAAGAAACTCGATGTTCTTCTAAAAATGTAGTTATACTTCTAGCGGGGGGGAGGGGGTTGGATAGTTTCTTTGTCTATACAAACACAGGTCCGGTCATGTGTGAATTATCATTCCCATTTGAGACAGGGGCAACCAAATGTAACTCACAGCTTTGAAACCCATGAAGATCCGTACCAAAAAATTCTTATTGGTACCCACACCTTGGTTATATCCAATGGAGTTAGTCTTCCTCCATCTCAAGCATTTTGTCTGTCTGTGTATTTCCTTCCAATTATAATTGGTGTATCTTCAACTTGGGTGAATAGGGTTTTACTCCGAAAGTGTTTTCATCATCAACAACCTCATTTCCATCTCCAAACATGTTAAAGACAATCCACTATGATGCAGTAGAATTAACAAAAAACATATACAAAAAAAAAGCTTTTAAAGTGGAGTAGTAAGACTCACTATTATGTCATTCGGCCGATGGTGATTTAAGTCGAGTTATGTCGAAATATGATTAAGTGAAATGGCTGGAACATTTGTCTCATTTCAATTATTGATGGTTATTGAAGAACTCAATATAGAAACCTAGAAAGCTAAACGCTGATTCTCATAGTAAATATATATGTATTTTTAGTTGGCTTACAAAATTTTGTATTTATATAAAAATAAAATAAAAATTATTGATAGCATCACGCAATGCCTCTGTTACAGTGCGTTTTGTTGGCTGTCGGTAATTACCTAGCCATTAGCGATACGAACTAGGTCGACTGTTTTGTATTATATGAATCAATGCTCCTACATCGGATAGCTGAATTTAACTAATGTGTCACTTTTAGAGAATGTTTGTGTCACCCAATTAAAATCGTTTAGAACAAATTAACTAAAACCGTTCTATTTATATTTAGACTATTAACCACTTAATGGGGCGTCCAAATAGAGTTCCAAATAATAAATATACTTTACGTATTGTATATAATATGTATGTTGTATAAAATATTTCTTATCTGATAGCAATTTAAAACATGATACATTAAAGGTAAAGTGGAAATTGTGGGCGTAAAGCCTTTACCTAGTTTAGGGGAAAATTTCGATTTTGTTCATTTTAAACACGATAACGTTGCATTTAAATGGGTAAATTATTGATTTGAACAGATATTTTCGTAAACATGTTATTAATAGTATCGGTTTTAATTTGTTAACGTTGCTCGACATTTTTTGTGTCGTTAAATGAAGCATTGTTTGGATAGCGGGAGACGAGCGAGGTTAGGGGGTGGTATCATGGCGTCCTGTTTACGTTATAGCTAGCTGTTATAATATTATGATTTATTACTCAATCGCTGCGCCGCCAGCCAGAGCGGCTTCGTAATTTCACCTGAATTTTGTTCACGTTTGCACACTTAAACTAAGGTATTCGAGCAACGCTTTAACACGTAAAGGAGAGCCTTTGATATGGTTTCATCATATATAAATTAGCTTGATGTATTTAAAATTTAAATGCTAATTTTCGCGAAAAGTATAATAAGGTGAATTATTTTTTTGTATGTAGATATATTATTTCCAGTATGCATATAGTATTTAATCGTGAAATATAAAATGTTCAGGTATAAAATCAACAGCGATGTCCTCAAACAAAAAAGGGAAAAGTAATTTTTGTATATGATTAAAAGTGAATATTCTATTCTTTATGAAAGTGTGTAAATAACACAAATTCTCATATTGATTATATGCAGAAACTAGTACGACGTACAATTATTATGTTAAAAAGTATATTTTATTGTCATCATGAAGATTTTGTATCTCAATAATCTATAAACACAATTTGGACAATATACGTAAAATAATATATCTAATAATTTATTGACCTATTGGTCACATTAGTTAAGGAAAATTCGTAAGGATATAAATTATGGCAGCTCAGAAATGTAATTTTCAAAGAGTGGAATCGAACTGATGGAGTTACGTATCATGAAACATTTCTGGGTATCGTTAATTGAATGTGGCCGTTCATTACTTAGATAAGAATGACGAAAAACTTTTGATTTGACGGAGTTTAGACGGAAACCAGGAAATGGCATGAGATGTGATTGAAACCAAAAACTTTTTCATTAATCATATAAAGAAATAAATGTATATACGAATGAATATGTAGCATAAACTAATTTAAACATTCGTAATCTCTTTTTTTTCTATCATAATCAGAAATACGGATTATAAATATAAAGAAAAGAGATTTTAAAAGATTTGTTCTGTTCAACGTTTATTGGGAACTTGAAATAGCGGAGTTTTGCATCAATTTGAAAGTTGAAACAGATAACTGTACCAGCATTTGTTTGAGATTCAGAAGAATTCCAATAACATAGAAAAGAGCAATGGCCGCTGTGGAATATGGTAATTCAGGTGTCTTTTAGGATTTTCACATTCACATTGCTTTTCTCAGCAGCCGCTCTGTTTTTATTAAGGTTCTAGAAAATACGTTAATATAGAGATTATACGACTAAATGTTTTATGTTTATCACAGGGATTCTGTTAAACAAATGAGCTATAAAACAGTTGTTATTTAAAAATTTTAAATCTACGTTCCTCGTTTTAAAGCTTTGTTTCGAAGTTTTATTTTCTTGTTCTATAAAATATTATCTACTTCGTAATGAAGGTATTAAAAGACTGTGAATTAAATTCTTCTTTGGTACGTGATCTTTTCTATGGTGGTAGTCTAAATATTTTTTCTATATATCCGAAGCAACAACTTGTATTGTGTTGAAAAGTAAGGAAATAAATTTTGATATAATTATTTTGATTAATTGCACCTCTATGTTAAATTTGACACCAAATAAAGGTATATCGCATACGATTTATTGCTAAATTAATCACACACTCATTTTACTATAGGTCAAACAACCATGTTTATCGTTGTATGAGATCAGATGGTTTAAATATATTAAATACTAGCTTTCCGCCCGCAGCTTCGCCCGCGTGGAATTTGGTTATATCGCGTTTCTAAGAGAACCTTCCAAAAACCTGGAATAAAAACTATCCTATGTTCTTTTTCAAGGTCAACTCTATCTCTGTACCTGTAAAAATTTCATTAAAATCAGTTCAGTGGTTTAGGGATGAAAGCGTAACAGACAGACAGACAGAGTTACTTTCGCATTTATAATATTAGTAGGGATTCATTACCATAATAGTTCCTAATATTTCATGATTATGATTATTAAAAAGTCTTCCACAGTACATTCTACTTTCATAAAATATTTTTAATTTGTAAGAAGCTTATCTACATTCATCTTCTTATCGGTGAAGTGTTTTTTTTTGTATTATTTTCAACTATAATAAAAGTAGGAGCAAAACAAAAAGAATTGTCTCATTGTACAGATAACAATTCTGCAAAACTTTAGCATCTCTTTCAAGTAAAATGATTTGTTTTATTAAATACAATCCCCTTAAAACTGATCTTTATCTAAGGAGCAGAATGTCATTAAAAATTTACTTGACTTTTTTTGTTTATATTTATTTAATTGTTTTTGTTTTGTATACGGTTAAAGGGCATCATGTATCATGGTCGTTTTAATATAACACCTGGAGATTTAATTACCTTATTAGATTCGCATTTATAAGGTTTCGTATGAGGAAAAGAAAATAATCCTATTACAAGCTGGTAAAGGCAAAGAGACATTAATTAGCGTCACTACCAAAAATACGTCATTTTCTAGAGGATATTTTTAGACGCTTAAAAAACATAAAAGGTGTTTCAAGAACCCAGATATATATATTTTTTTCAAACTACCCACCATACATAAAACTCTGTTAAGTCCTACGATTTAATTATGGAGGGTTAGAGTATAAAAAATATTTCCTACTCACCATAACAGCGTTCATCTTGAAGTCCATGTGGTTCTTAACTTCAACAGCCAGCTCCCTCACCAACAGCAGGCCATCTTTTCTCACCACTTCCACGTTGTATTCGTGATATTTCTGCACAAAACCAAAATAAGGAAATACATAACTTTTTACTGAAGAGTTCACAATATATTGGACGTGTTTTATGTGGAGAAAAATTATTACTTTACGCTTATATATTTTAATTTTGTATATGTGTTACTAGCTTTTATGGTTTGACAAAGTACAAATGCTCGCATGGTCAAAGTCTATATGTATGTACACTAAATTCGAAGCAATTTTTGTTTCTCACTCAATAACGTAAATATATATAGTAATGTGCAAATATTTATTAATTAAAAACTGTTATAACTCCATATCTATATATGTATGCCAACTTAGACAAAGCACAAAATCGATTTATATAGATATCGATTTCGTATTATTTCGTGCTGGGATTCTAAAAGATCATCATAAAAAGCAAAATAAGATCGGATGAAGAGTGAGATATATTGAGTCGGTAATAAATTTAAGATAAGACATTCCATCATACACTGGTTACTCTATCCAAGCATATCTATCAAAATCGTATCGATTTGGGAATTGTTTTTCAAACGCTTATAACATGTTCAACGATTCAATCTTTATTCTGTTTTGGGTCAAACAAAATATGAATGATACATTTTTTTAAATAATTTATATACATTTTATGAAGGATTAAGAGTAAGTTTTGTGAGAATTTCCCAAGATAGTCTTACAGTTTTTGGTCTATGGTCCCATTATAAGTTTAAACCTTTTTGCATTTATTTTAGTTTGAAAATAACGGCATAAAATATTTCAAACAGATTGAAAATTAAATGAAAAAATCAATACAGGAAATGACATTGTAGTCTTTCCGTAGACCACCATTACAATTAATATCAATATTCTGACGTCTAAAAGTGTGAGGGACGGCTAGAACTAACGTGTCTGTAATTATAGTTTGAATTATACATTACAGTTTATAACAACATCGGTTCCAGCAATAATTTACCAAACACAACAGCAACCAGTATCAGAGTAGGGCAGACACATAATTTAATGCTTTCACGAGGGCAGATAAACATCGGGAGGCGTGTAAAGCTCGTATTATTTGCTAAAATGACAACAATCGCGTCGCACTCCCTCTACCTAACGCCTGAGTTATTGGGACCGACGCGACGTGGCGGGAACTGTCACATTTAAAAATGTAACGAACACATCCGCCATTTGGCGGATGGTAGTTGCCAAATTATTGTTATTCGGCACGCGCCACCGAGCAAGCGTTGTTATTGAATTTTTTGATTGTGACCCGATGTCGCTTTTGTTGTACTATCAACTCTAATGACTGAATGAATGTAACTATGATTTACAATAGTTTCATATTTTTTTTATCTCTATTGTTTAAAAAACTCTCTCTAAGTGACAAAGTTTCTAAACGAATCTGATAAAGCAGAAAAGTAAAAAATCCAGCGGATAATGCAAAAAGCGCTGATACGTTAACCAAATCGACACATTTTTTAATTGTTTTAAACTAATTTTTTTTTCAAACGAAATTTAAATACGCGACTACATATATTTTACACATATTTTTTATTTTAACTTATATTTTTTATGACTTAACTTGAATGGAATTATAATAAAGTTATATCTATAAAGAATTTATTCAAAATTTAAGTAAAATATATTATTATTATTAAGTTTTTTTTTAAATAAATGATGTGATATATGAAGCTGATTTAGATTTAAGTATGTGGAGATAATATTAATGAGATCGGTACACGGACACGTCGTATAGGCTTTATGTAATGGCTATAAACCTTTTTACTGCAAAAAGTCCCCGTTCACCAGATTAAGTCCATTTTTAGTATAGCTTCAACAGCGTGAAAGAGGGACTGCTAAATGATACTTCGAGAGTATTTAATTATGACGGTACTTACTTAATAAAACCATTTAAAAGTAAATAACATTATGAATATACGCACAATTTGTTTGAATTATAATTCAAGTTACATTAAGGCAGCATAAATTAACTATTTTATAAAAAAAATAAAAATAAAAACAAAAAGAGCTTTGTCATTTATATATTAAATTGGCAAGTACGAAGCATTTAATTGAGACATCACACGTCAAAAATACCTTAATAAATTTATTATCTTGCAGTATTAGAAACAAATAATAATATACTTTAACCAAGGAATGCAAAAAATCACTGCACGAAAGTATTTCAAATAAAATAAAGCCTTATCCAAAACGATCTATCCGGTTTAGAGTTACGATGCAACAAACAGACAAATACGCACACTCAAACACACACACACACACACACATACGACCATCGACATAAAATCCATAACAGCACTATTTTTGATTCGGCCTTTAAAAATACAAGAGACGGATTTCTAATATAGATCCCATTTCATATTTATAAAGTTTTCTTCTCAAAATAAAAGTATAACTTTATTTGGTTTGTATTCGTTCAAATACGGAGAGAATGGAAGTTTGAGCGACGGTTTTATTCTATTTGCCCGTTAAAAATTCTTCTAAAATATGCATCTTCCTTTAGATATTCTTGGATAGGCACTAAGAATGTCTAGATAAGTACAATATTTAAAGTTACATAAAATTTTATTACATTCTTCATAATAAAATATTACTACAGCAAGCCTCAGTGGGAGCCGCTGCAGGACTTTAAGCCTTACTTACAACGTTAATTAAAATTTAGGAGACGATAAATATAAAAAGGATTCACTTATTTATAATATCATTTTTAATGTTGAAATGGGTCAGGACAGGTGGGAGAACCAGAAATAGAATGATGAAGACGTCGCAAAAGGATTTCTATGATTATTCAAAGTTGGCATATGAAGATTTAATAGTTTTTCATTTATTAATCTTCGAACATTATTATTGAAATAGTATTATATGAGAAACTCGAATCTCTTACGAAATCTAGCTCAAACATGTATGATTTCGTAACAAATAATATACGGCATATACACAGAACAAAAGAATCAGTAAATAAAGTCTGAACACTAAATCTCACTCATTATAATTTATTTGCATTAAGATAAATTTAAAAGTAAATAAGTAATGAGTCAAAGAATTATCCTCTCAACACTAATACGTAATCCACGAGAGTTCAACATATAATTCCGCTGCTTTTAACTAATGTTTATGTAAGCTTTAATCCCACATAAAATATAACCAAATATTTGAATGCAACCCATGTTGATGTTGAGATGAACTTTTAATATATCACTGCGCCAAAACACTTCATATTCTAATGAGAGGCTTCAACGTCACTGTTTCACTGGATGGGTCAAGTAAATTATAATTTGTATACGTTCAGCGTTCAGTTAAATATCGTTTATTTGTGACGAGAATGATTTTTAAATTATATATTTTATATACATAAAAAAAATATTACTTAGGGGTCTAATAGAATAGTTTTAACGTGTTAAATCTCTTACATATTTTGGATGTCTTTATTTTTAACGGAGAAGACGTATTTCAAATTTGATTACAAGCTTTAATATTTGCATAGATAAGGTTTGTTCGAGGTAATAATATAAAGATACTTAGAGTCTACAGACAGATATACTTACTTATGTATTTTTAATAATACTTTATTTTAAATCCAAATTAACTTTATTAAATCCGTAGCCATTTCAAGACTAGGAGGATTAAAGGATTTAGTATTAAAAAATATAACCAGATCTCTCAAACACATCAGATATAAAATAATTATAAGCGTCGCGTCATCTTATAATACTGACAATATTTTAATGAAGGCTGGTGTTGATAATTTATATATTTAATAAAGTAAGCATTGCATTAGAGCGACCCTCCGGGACACGTCCGTCGACAAGGAATCAAAATCCAATTAAGCCAGTTAATTTAATCTGCTCCGTACTCCATCCTTACGGACCACTGATTGGATGCTGCCCTCGACCCGACCTCCGAACCGACCTCCAAATATCACCTTGTTTTCATATAAAACTTTTCCTATATCATATCTACGGGCATACGCTGACGAAATTCAAATCATTGTTACGAGAAGTGCTTTAAAAAAAAATTAAGCAGCATTCAGAATGACGTAGATAATTTTCGAATTCATAAAAATCCAAAAAGGTCGAAACCAAAAAGTTTTAATAATTAATAGTTTTAACATTTTAAGCCACGCAAAGAAATGTCCGCTGCAGCTTATTGTTGATGTTCACGCTGTTATTCATAATAATAAAACATTTTGATGCTACACTTAGTATAGACCGCTTCATGGCTACATAGTGAATGTTGTCTTGTGTACGGAACGCTACGCTCTAGAACATTATATAATATCATTGCATAACCCGTTTCGACCCCTACCTATTGTGAGACATTGGAAATACCGCAATGTTACTAACTTACGAATCCACAGCTATACAGTATACAGCAGTTTTTGCTAAGCCTAACTCAGTTATTAAATTATGCAATAGCTTGACTTTAACATATACATATGTTTAATTATAAATAATAGTACATAGTTTAAAATGTATTAAATGGAAATCTAAAAAGAAACCTAAGAGTATTTTCAATTGCGGCGGTCATTCGTTCTATAAAATGTATTGGAAAAGTAACAAATAAAATGTGAATACGCTTAGTCACGATACATAGACCGTTGGACCGCTTCTTGCTATCGGACAGGACTTTCCACTTCGCTTTTCTGCGTACTCACAAGAGAACTCAATTTCATGACAAAAAATACACCAAACAAAAGGGTAGGCCTCCCAGTTATGTCGATATCGATATAAAATATGTCGATATAGCGTATCTATTTAATTAAGGCATGCCCGTCTAAGCGATATTGCAGTCTGCGGTTTCTATTTGACCACAAATTCATATCTATACAACGCTATATAACCTAAACGGCATAGCGTCCGATCTGACATACGATAAAATATACAAACACTAGTAGTACGTAGTGTGTTTAAAAATATACGCCGTGTTTTAAAATAAAATTGAATGAGTTGTGGAGTAGAATTGTAGGAATTAGACAAAATTATTTTTGGTCTCGTGAAGTGGACGGGGCCGGTCATTCATTCCTTTACCTTTGATCTAAGAGAAACATTCAGTGAACTTTCTACCGCAAGCCGTGTATTCAAAGCTTCCAGTACGTGAACATTAATTTGTAATTTTAGTGGTACGTTTTTGAGGGTGTGTTATTATTTATTTTTGAAGGATTTTATACTTATTTATTACCATATATATGTTAAAAAAAAAACTATGTTACAGTCATAAATTCATATTGATTTTACGAACACAAAACATTTCAAGACATTGATTCTTATTTAATATTACATCTTAAAAAAATATATCGGTATTTAGGAAGAGAAATTTAAATAATGATGATTCTATCAAGCAATGGCAATAATTGACAACAATTGTGCAATTATAAAAAAGGAGATTTAAAAAAAGGAGGTTTTAACAATTTAAATTTTAACGACACCATGTTTTAATTTTCTGTTTTTTAGAATACTTACTTGTGTTCTTTTTCTTCTTTGAAATAGTAATTTAATTATATTTATAAATGTGAAGGTTAGTAGCTTTCTTTTAACAATAAAGGTAATATTTTTACTCGTTATTACTTCCGTTGGCGATTTTGGTAGTTGATTAATGACGTGGGGTATAATGTATTTTTAGGTAATTTTTTAGTCCAGGTAATATATTTAGGTAATATTAGTTTTGGGTTGCTAGTTCTAAAACTTGAAAATTAATTTAGTAACGAAGTCAGAGGCTATTTTATGTTCTTGAAATCTACTTTTTCGCCTACCACTCCTACAAAAATCAAAAAAGTTTACGATAAACAATTTTAGAAGTATCTTTAATTTATATGGAACCAGTTCGTTTGAATTCTTCAATTGAAGTTAAAATATTCTATCACAAAAAATATTCTTTAAAATGTAATAGCATAGCCTATTAGATATAACTGATTCGGTCATATAAATGAATTCTAGTAGTAATTTTTCTAGTACGATTTTATTATTGAAAACTTCACAAAATTATTCTAAGCCTGTCCCAAATTAGTGGCGTCGTATTTCCAAGTGAGTCAATCAATGACGATCTAAAGATAAATATGTCCATTTATGAGATCGACGGCATTTGACTATCAGTGCCACTTATACATAAAGAGTTATTAAGCGTGTCTGTTACTTTACTAAATATAAGATAGTTTTAATAAAATTTACTTAGAAAGATTCCAAAGCAAAAATTTAAATCATATTTATATTGTTTATTAAACATTTTCTCCTTTGTCCGGTAAAAGCATCTCTTTTAGAGGCATTTCCTTAATAATGCGAGTCCAGAGCCATTCATGAATACACATAAATTGTAAAAATGAAATTAAAGTTTGTGAAGCGCAAAGGGGTGAACAAAGCGTCTTGGATTTTTCAATCTGTTCAAATGTTCTCTTCTCACTAGATATTAATATTGAACATTTTTGTTCAAGTCCGGTGCAGGATTTATTTTCCTATATTTCAAAATTCAAATGTCCTTATAGAACCGTACCATCTATTAAATAAACTGGTCTAAATTTTTTTCTATTATTTTTCTAAACAACAAAATAATAATAGGATTTTTAAACGAAATAAATTCTCGAGTTTAAGTTATTACTCAATAAGGTTTAAGGTAAAAGAAAATTGAGATAAATTATTATGGGATTGTAAATATTTTTTAATACTAAAACATGATCTAATAAAAAACTATGAGATGAACGATCAATGAATGTAGTTGTTTTATTTCCGTGTCGCCATCAAATAGCACTTTACCTTGTCTTGTCAAACACGTTCCACTTTACCGAGATAGTGACCTAAAGCCGTATAGGCTTTCATAAAATGTAGAATTAGGTTAAACTTGGACGCTGGACCGAGTTACATCCGACGGATGGACAAAACATTTCAATAGATTCAATGTTTAATTATTTATAAACCGCACACTCTCTACTTATAATATACACTAATATAAGAGTTTTATATTAGGTACATTTATTTAGGTTTTACTGAAATATATATCTATTAAATTTATGGTTAAATTTCTATCAGTAAAAATGTATTAAGATAATGAAGCAAGACTTAATGGAGGTATGAATAAAACTGATTTAAGTGATATCATAGTTTGACGATACACGCCGCTTATATTGAATAAGTTCCAATGGCAAAGTTCTCTTTGGAAAGATTATATTACTTTTAGGGGCGCGATCTTTACCCAGAATCTTGATTGCTTCATCACATCAACTTACATTATAGTGAAATATTTATATCAAATAGAAGATATTTAATTAATCAAGAAATGTCTTAGTGGTTCTTCAGTAATACAAAAAGGAATCGTTTCAGAAATAAAACATGCAAATTAATGTAATAATAAATGACTTTTCTGTTATGGTGAAGACATTAATCTTCTTTATACGAACTAAGTCGTGCTCAAAAAATATTACCAGCATTATTAAGTGAACTACAGTAATATGACTACTACTATGACTAAAGCAGATCATGTCTAACTATCATATACTGGTCGATATAATGCCTTACACGAATTTGAAACTTCTTATAAAATAAATGTATCGTTGCTATCCCACCGCTTTCAACATTACCCTCCATTGATTTCAATTTCGTAGAAAACAATATAGAAATTCGAAAAAAAATATTAAACTCTCAGAGATAAATCCATCGAATTGTTATAAAAGTCGGGATTCAAATCATAATTGAGGTGAAATAAAAGTTGAGCGTCCACGGAGCAAGTGTCGAGAGTAACCACAATCGAAGGCCACCGTTAATTATCGTATTGTATAGGAGATACGCTCCGTACTGGGAGTGTATCCAGCCTCCGGGCCCCCTCGCCCGGCTCGTGGAACTGGGTCGCGGGGAGGCCGTGTGAGGGAGGGGGTGTGAGGAGACTCTCGCTGCGTTTTTGTGCCGGCGCGTCCAACCGATCGCCCCACAGATACCCCTCGCTTCACACCACCAACACTAACAACGGATGCTGTAATGATGCGTTTACTCACGTTTTGTATCTGATTCATTTTTGTGAAGTGCCGCCCGAATTCCCAAAGGTCGACGCCGAATTTTAGCGCCCAATTCTTGACTCTGCAACAAAAATGTTTTATGTGTTACACATTCATTTGAAAGTTTTATTTGTAACTAAAGTTTTCGTTTGTCATAATTAATAGTTTTGTTACGTAGATTCAATTAATCGCCTAATTCACTGTTTCATTCATCACTTAGCATAGCTCGCGGCTCGATCAAAAAGTAGCCAATGGCTCTAGGCGAGGTCCGTTTTACCTTCGTACGAAATTTAATTAAAATCCTTTCATCAGTTCGGTCTCGAAACGGTTACAGACAGACAGAATTACTCTCGCATTTATACAATTAGAAAGATAATTTTAGTATAGTCGATCTTTATTTAATCTTAAAGGAAAAATATAAAAAAAAAGATTACAAAAACACATCACGTAAGAGCACTCCACTCCCTTAGTAGTAGGTTCAAGTCCCGTGAATATAAATGTGTCATTTTATCATTTTTATTATATTCTATGATGAATCCAACCGCGACATACAAATCGTGGTAATTTTGACACTTGATATAAATGGGCCAGATCGCTGTTTCATCATTTTTTCCACTCGGCTGATCACCCTCGGTTCAGGTAAGGGAGTAGGTTCCTCGTATGAGATGCGTCATTGTGGGGCCTATTTAATTAACGGGTAAGCCTTGGAGTACGTCACGAGTGGTGCAATTGAAGGTTTTATTGGTTATTTCGAGCTCAATATCGCGTCATTATTATTTTTTCATCTTCTTCTTACAGATGCCTTCAAGATTATTTTAGCGTAGCCCATATATTATCTTAAAGAACTTTTATTCTACAAAAATGTATGAAATGAGGTCTTATCATGGATTTTAATACACTTTAAAACGTTTATAATAAAACATTTTTTTTCTATTCATGCAATTGCAGCGCAAATGCAATTTTATATTCATATAACCAAGATTTTATTTCGTTTGTGTTCAAGATCTCATCGCCTTTGATACGGAGATATAAAATACATTCAATATGACTAAAATAGAATTTAGCACATTTCATATGATGGAGGATATAGATAGTGTGATAGTACATAATGCTTTGTAGATCTATACGACATATTACTAAGTCATAAGTAAGAAAGAAACGTTTCTAAGATAAAACTTATTTGAATTCTCGAAACAATATCTGAACGCTGTATAATTTCCTTAAAAAATATTAAATATAATAGCCATCTTATTAATATTAATGCTCGTTCCAATATATTTCCCGTCTATTTATTATTCCTATTGGATTTCGGCGACAGAGTACTCATTAGCAATCGGGGGATGTTCGCGGCCATTGTTCCTACAAGTTGGGCCGTCAGCGACAGGAGTTGAGAATTTAAAATGATTTAAAAAGAGAGGCTGCTGTCTCCCTGTTCACTGTTGGACGAGGCCAGGTGCTCCCAAGCGGGGCCCTGAAATACGATCTCTTCAAATGAAACTTAAGAAACGCTGTTACGACACTCATATCTGTTATTTCACTTTGCTTTTATTTGAAATGTTTCATACTTTTTAGTTTAATCCATATTGAATTGATTAATGTAAGTTTATTTGAAAATATTTATAGTATTCTTATTGTTATTGTAAATTTTAAGTCGTTTTATTATAATGATGGCATAATACAAGTTGAAACATCTCCGTCTGAAGTGTAAAACTTTTGAAAGGCCACTGCAAAAAAGATAAAAGCGCGCTAGAGTTTGATCTGGATCGCTTTAAAAACAAAGACGGATTAGAGTATTGTGAGACGGAACGAAGTTTAAGATACCTGGTTTAACATAAACCTTGTTATATGTATGATAAATATCCACATTATTATACATTATATAACAATATAATCAAGTATGTATATAAAATATGAATCCAATCTGAATACCGATCAAAACTATTACATAAGTGGCACGCAACATCATATCTCGTTTTAATTAAAACTATCGAGTTATTCCAAGAGTATGTGAGGTGACAGGTCTCGGTTAAAGTTAGTTCATTAAATGTCATGATATCTGGATGCAGTCTATAGTGTTTTATTAATCACAGTAGTCGCAGACGGGGTGTCAGACGCGCCCTTACGTAAGCCAGCCTCCGTAGTACGCCGGCTCCGGGAGCGCCTCCCCCCCCCTACCGTCCTCCCCCCCCCCCTCTAGATCAATACCCGACCCGCCTTTGACATGTGCCCCTCGTGCCGCTCCGCAAATATTTACGTTGTGGAAACAGATCATAACTAGTTTAATTTGTATGTTTGTTCGTCGGACTGAAATAAAAAAGATTTTAATTGACAGCCCACATGGCTCTATTTGTATCTATCTTTTTTAGGTGGGAGCAAAATTTAAGCATTTTTTTCCAGCTAAATAGAGATGTGTGAGTTTAATAACATTTTAACAGCAATTTAATAAACGGACTAATGGGCATGCAACAGTTGCGTTTTTTTTATTTATGCCAACCCCAAATGGGATTTTAAGGAACAGTAATTGGTAATTGATTAATAATGTTAGAAATAAAATTAAAATTTTTCGTACCTTAAATGTTTTATTTTTCGCATACAATACAATATATGTATGAAAATTTAATTCCAATAAAAATAAACTCATGTCAAAAATGTTTAGCACGAGTATTTGTGTCCGATTTATTTGTAAATAAAAATATTTCAACTTACATATCGTATTTGCAATATTGAATTTTAAAACACCATCCGTCTGGTGGACAGCGACGCTGAACTAATTTTATCATAAATTTACATGACACTCAGCTATTTGCTGGGTTATTGAAAAATAAATAGTGTATTACGTCATCGGATTAATAAACAGTCGCGACATGCGATAGACAAGTGATTTAATTGTGTATAAGAAGTCTTTGTAATCTTAATTAGTGGTGAATAATGTTATGTTTAATATAATTAAGTAAGGCCAGTCTGAACACGTGAGACAAATCAGCCTTCATTTGTCGTAAGGGTACGAGTGGATGGCGTTTTTGGGTGTAATTTTTTTTGCGCCACCCCAACTTCCGAATCGGATGTCAACAATAATTCTCTGTGGAAATTCCCCAGAGTTAAATTCCACCGAATACTACATTCGTAATAGTAATATATATATATTTTTTATTTGTCAAAAGAAGAACAATGTAATTCAAGTTATATTCTCAATAAATCCTCATACTTATTGTATTTTTAATAAGCAATTATAACGAAATTGAAATACAAGAATTACTATGGCGGAATAAATAGCGGTGCGTTTATTGGAACTAATGAAATGGAAACGGCTGCGAGCTACGCCGCTACGATCCGCTACGAGCGTAGACATACGAGCTACGATGCTACGGGCTGTGTGACCCAATTATAAAAAGTGACGTCTTATACAAAACCGTACGATTATAGTTTTAATGAAATACTATAAAAAATATAATTATTATATTATTATGTGTATTTTTCCTATAGAGAGTGGGTGTCAAATACTACGTAGTTGATATTTGATAAAAGCTAAGGTTAAAGGTTAAACTAATTTATTAAAGTGACGCCAACAAGTTCTCTATCTAATATTAATATAAAATATTGATTTGATATAAAAATAAAATAATATACTATGTATGTAAAAGATGAATTTGTACTTGGAAGTTATATTATATATTATATATATGTATATTATATTATTTGATTGTGGCTCCTACGATCATGTACTTAAGGTTAATTTTAAGTATTCTTAATTTCAATAGGATTTTTTATCAATACTAATATTTGTAGGCAATATCATTATAAGTGTCATATTGAAAAATCTCACAATACAATATGAATTATATTAAGAAAGCATCTTTGTATATTGAACACATATCAGTGTTAATAAAAACATTAATTTTTTACGGGATTTATATTTTTTTCCATTCTAACTTTTATCTAGCAATAGTGTCTTCTAGACTTCTTAATTGAAATTAAGATATTTTATCCTTATTAACAATAAGAATCTAACACAAATTTTATATAAACTTTAAATAAAGTGCAGCCGAATCTGTGGTATAGTAGTAGTATAGTAGTAGTATGGTATGGTATGGTATAGTAGTATTATAGTAAAGTATATAGTAGTAGTTACTACTATATACAGCTAGTATAGTGTAACATGAAACTGTATTTAAAATAGAACATTTATTTCAGTATATGTGTGTCACGTGTTTATTTTAGGCCTACAATGATTAATACTGAAATTACAATCGAGATGGAGCCCAAATATCTTGACATTTGATAATATAGTTCTGTGCATAATGAACGAATGTTAAATAATTCCAGTGCGAATGAAGCCTTAGCTTAAAAATGAATGAATGAATTATACTTTATTTGTTCGTGAAATTTGCAGAATATACTGTGCAAATATTTACACATGAAGGTCATAAAAAACAAACTAATTAGTTTTCTTGTCATTATTTCACTCAGATATTTCTTTTTTAATATATAAAAATATATTCTAATCTTGTTCGGGTGTTATTGAGTATTGGTAGTTTAGGCTGTCTGTTGAAAACCGTGTGCGCGGGATTTCGCTTTTGTATCTGTGGTTCAATACAATTTGTGTTGTACATATTTGTAACCTGAATGTGGTACTAGAATATAAAACGATACTTCAAAAATACTGTGTTATTAGTCTGAGAACTTTGGCAGAACATTTAGAACTGAGGAATTAATTAGCTCAAGCGAATTTTTGCTGGAAAATTTTTCACATCTTTAAAAAAAAAAGTCATTCTGACATGTCTTCATTCCTAATATCCACCATCAGGTTATACTTGCATTCATATATAAAAAAAAAATGAAAAAATATACGTAATCGAATGAACAATTTATAATAATTTTATAACTGAAAATTTCCCAAATCAGATCTTGTAACTATCAAAATGAAACATTTATTTTATACCATACATATTCCTGTTTATTAAATAAACTCTACTATACCTATTACATATGTATAAATTTCTGTAAATTATATCAGAAAATTCTCTTAATTTTGTATAGTATGTATGCGTATTGCTTATATTATGTAGTATAAACAGAAGTCGATTGATAATAATTAACTCAAAACTCATGACATATTCTTCCTCATTATCTATTCTGTATTGAGTATTGCATAAATATATATACATACATATATCTGTGTATATATATTTAAGAGGTGCCGTGAGTCTGTTCCACGGTCGTAAAGTGTTCAAAGGTGTTCATATTGTTTATAAAGTCTGCTCCACAGTCCACAGGGATGTTTGGCAAAACGCCGGCCTAAATGATAGTACACTAAAGTACCGGCACATGTTCCACGATACATACACGGAAAACATTCAACTATAGATTCAAATACAGTTTTTATGGTCGCCATTCTTGTGAACCCTCGTTTATTAATATTAAAACATTAATTCCTTTAGTTTTCAAAAAAATATATGTAGTTATGAACTTATTATATAACTTATGGCTTAATTGATTTAAATGCAATCTTATTTGATATTTAGGAAGGGATATAAAGATGACTCGCTACAAATATCATGCGAGATCTTATAGTAACATGGTTTTTATGGAAAACAGTTTTCTTGAGACACAATAGGTATATTTTCTTAATATTAAAATGATATCTATCAATCAAGTAAGAATAGGAATAAATTTATATATAATATTATTTTTTAATGAAGAACAAAAGGCTGTACGAACTCATTGTGTGGAATGTCCTCTAGTTGATTAGCGAGCGCGGCTGCGAGGAGCGCGAGTAGTAGTAGCGGACGCCTGGTCATGGTGCCTACAGCCGGCTCACACCCCACATGTCAAGGAACACACTACCACTGACTGGCATACAACACTACAACGATCGCACTACACACCGCCTGGACTGAGTCATCGGTGAGCGTTCGACGAGCCTCGGGGCAACAGAGTGTCTGGAAGACTAGCGCCGCCCCCCGCCGCGCCTCGCCCCGCCGCGCACAGCCGCAGTGACGCTGCGCGAATCATACGCCCAATAACGCGGAGTTATTATTGAGATTTATTTGATCATGCATGGGACTGAGCGTGGACGGTGGACGACCGACACTGGCCTCAAATAAAGAGGGACCTGTATGTAGGATGGAGATCATCGATCGATGGATGATTCGATCGTTTGGTTGTCGTGTGAAGGCTGTGGGGCGATGCTCGTGGTTCAGGGTTGCGGGCGTGACGCACATGCGTGGCCAAGCCGCCAGGAAATCCTTTATTGATTCCCGCGCTCCCAAGGAATGCCGCGGTCTCTGTTGGCGCCAAAACTTCCTCTAACCCTATTATAATTCGGACCGGGGATCACCATACGGGGCGCGGATTGCTTTAATTTATTGGTGCAATAATAGATAAGCATCCCATTACGAAATCATTCGGCTTTATTTATTTTATACCTTATCAAATATTGCCCTATACGTATTTGAACCCAGTCGGCGAGATAAGAATAAGTACATGGAAATAAATAAAATTTATATATATAAATGTAACGTTTTTCATAAATGAAATCTGAGTGAACATATTTTTTTATTATCCAATAATGTAACAATAGTATTATATCAATGATATTAGTAAAATATTTCAAAGATATAGGAGAAAATATTCCAAGGGTTTCTCACACATTATTTGTATTGAGTTCAAATATTATCTCTTCTGGGTCAGCAAATCTCCATCTGAACGTGTCCGTACACTAGTTTTATATATTTGTGAATAGTTTATTAAATACTAGCTGCGCCCCGCGGTGTTACCCGCGGATTTCCGAGATGTAAAGTAGACTATGTATTATTCCTGGACGTCAGCTTCTTGTATACAAAATTTTATCAAAATCAGTTCAGCCGTTTGAGCGTGAAGAAGTAACAAACATACACACACACTCACAAACTTTCGAAATTATAACATTAATAGGATTTAAGTATAGCGTGATATTTGTAAAATGAGACACATATTATATTTGATTTCTACTTTATTAACAGCAAATGAAACGCATAATTCTGATATAACTAATGTTTTTCGACAATATGTCAGCTAAAAAAAAATGTATAAAAATATACCGATTAAAAAATTAAAAAAAAAACATCTTTCGTCGTTTGTGCGTTGGCTTCGCTTTATAACTATGAACTATATTTACAAAACATTTAGTTACAAAAGCATAAATTAATATAAACTAATAAGTACTCTGCACAAAATGTCACAACACTAATCACTAAATTTATTAACTGAGGTCAGATTTTTAACTCGGCTCGAAGGGTACGTCACGGCCGTCGTATTAAACTCACGATGTTCTCGCCCAGCCGTCCGTACTAGTTTACGTTCGAGTTTCGATAGTAATGCAGTCTTTTTAATAAACGTAGCGACCTTACAAGATCACAACAATACAGTTAGGTATATATATATAAAAATCTTAGTAATCTCATAAATAAATGCCTTATCTAATATACAATCTACTTAAATAATTTGTACAATAAATCTGAGTTATTCCACAGATTCTTCTGGTGAGATTAATATAATTATAGACACGTAATAAATAATATGATAAATTATTAAAAATATTCGACCACAGTCTTTAGACGTGAAATTGTAACAAAAAAAAAAAACATGACACAAAAAAAAATGGAGGATGTCTTTAAAATAGGAACACGAAAAAAATAAACGTAATATATTTACGATGGTTTCAAATTGGTATTTGGTCTATACATTAAAAATTAATTATATAAAAAAAAATCTTGCATCTACTCCACAGTTCTTTGTGCTTACTATGAGTTACCATCGTTACACTACAAACGAGACGTTAACAGTTTTTTATGAAGAAATCTTCATACTTCTTATTATGTAGTGAAAAGAAACTCATAGTAAGCACACTGGAGTGATGATATGGAATGATTTCAGTATCATGTACCTCAGCAATACATTAGATACTCTAGCCTCCACTATAGTAATCAACGCCATCTACCGAACATCCTCGTAATACTGCCTCAAGGCGTCCGTCGCCTTAAAACATATTAACGTACTTAATCTCAACTTATACCCGCACTGGATAGAATATTTATATTATTATTTTTGTTTTATTTCTCATTATAGCACAACCCTGGATAGTGTCTTTGTTCTTTCCACAAACAGAGAACTTCTTTTTGTTTGATTTTGTTCGTATGATTCTTGTAATGTTCTCAATGTCGGGATGAATCGCTCTCATGGCCGGAATCCCTTCCGTTTTCTCTGGGCGAGGCGCGGTGTTCCCTCTCATCCCGGTGCCTATCCCTGTGTCGATCCCTATCCCTGTCCCGGTCTCTATCCCTGTCTCTATCCCGGTCCCTATCCCTGTCGTCGTCCCGATCCCTCCTACGATCGTAGTAGTGATACGATCTCCGCGACTTCCTATCGCTGGGTGTGACCACTTCAACTTTGATGTTCGCCGTCGCAGTCACCTAGAACAAAAAAATTAATGTGTTGTTATTTAAAATATTATACTACATGAAAACTTCATTTATAATGATACTAGTTTTTGTTCGCGCCTTGGCACACAATCATGAGTATTGTTATCAGAGATTAATTAATAATGTGGACATAAGACTATTGCTTGTCACTTAACTTCATACAACATACAAAATATCGGTAATATAAGCAGTATTGGCAACATTACTAAAACAATCCTACTAATATTATAATTGCGAAAGTTTGTGAGTTTGTGTTTATGCTTGTTACTTCTTCACGCTCAAACGCCTGAAACGATTTTGATAAAATTTTGTATACAGGAAGCTGACGTCCAGGAATAACATATAGGCTACTTTACATCCCGGAAATCCTCACGGAAATCCGCGGGTAACACCGCGGGGCGCAGCTAGTATTATCTTTATTTTGAAAATTAATTTACGATATCTGAAATATGAGAAGAAAATTACTCACCTTAGTAGTAATAGCTCCAGAATGCGTAGTCTTAGTCGGTGTAGATCTTCCCGAGGCTGAGTCGCTACCATTGTACGTAGTCTCCACGACAACTTCCGGTTGAACTACGATGGATTGCATCGAGGACTGTACTGAATGCGAACTGTGCCAGCTAGAGGGTTCTTCGGTTATAGTGGTGAGGGAGGGTGCACTAGGACGTGGAACTGATTTACTAGTCCGACTCTTCTCCCCGGATGTTAATTTACGGGGATGTACGGGAGAACTCTTGGGAGACGGAGTTGATAGACGCTCTGGATGTTCCAATGGACGGACCTGGGGACGTCATTTTATTTTAAATGCTTGCAAAAAAGCTATACGAAATATCTTTATATATATATAATTCTCCTGTGAGTGTGTATGTCACTGAACTTCTCTCAAACGACTTGACCGATTTTTATGAAATTTTTTGTGTGTGTTCAAGGGGATCTGGGAATGGTTTAGATTCACAATTTTGTCCGCTGGACAATGTTTTTTTAATTAATTTTTAATTTATTAGTAGTTGTTGATACAAACGTTTTTTTTTACATTCGATTTGACAACTAACTAATATGTCAATCATTCTGTCGCACTTCACGAAAACACGGAGATTTATGGCTTTAATAGGTAAACTCCAAAAATATAAATAAAAAACGTAACAGATATTTCTTGATTATAGGGCAATACGAAGTTCGCCGGGTCTTCTAGTATCCATATAAAAAATATTTTTCATCCATAAAGATCGGGTACCAAAAAAAATTTTGAAATAATTGTTATGTTTTTTTAATAATTATAGGCATTAAAGGGAAAAATAATAAATTACCTCAGCAGCGGGACCCAATATCGACAACACTATAGGGAAGAACAGCAATCCGTCAAGCAGTCCAAGAACAACGAGTGCGAGGAGCAGTCTCAGGAAAAGTCGCGCGACGAAACCAAACTCGCTGGTGGCTAACATTGAGGCGGCTAAGGCGGCCGCTATAGCTCCGTGTACAACAGGCGCGAGAACTGACTCGAGGGCTAAGGACGCGCGACGACGCTTACAGCCTATTGATGTTACGAATGCCTGTTGGGATAACACAAGTATTCATTAGTTGCTAAGATACAAGACAATAATAATATAAACAATAATATATATATACTACTTCCTACTAATATTATAATTGCGAAACTTTGTGAGTGTGTGTGTATGTTTGTTACTTCTTCACGCTCAAACGGATGAACCGATTTTTATAAATTTTTGTATACATGAAGCTGACGTCCAGGAATAACACATAGGCTACTTTACATCCCGGAAATCTTCAGATAACACCGGGGAGCGCAGCTAGTTATATTTATATTGGTATATGGTATGTAATTACCAGACATAAGTGGACGGTAAAATGCACTCCTCGTCCAACAGCTAGTACAAGCAGCACGGCCGGTACAGCTGACAGCTTGACTCCTAGTAAAGCCATTACACCGAGCAGCTGTAACACGAGCATCGCCAACGATAGTGTTACGAGCACCGCCGCCCACGCGTTCAGTAATAACACCATCACAGCCTGGAATATGTATGAACAATTATCAGCAATTATATTTAGTAATACTATTATCAAGGAATATTTAAATTATTTTTCTTAATTCTTTTTAATACTCTCTACATTTAATAATTTTTACCCCAAAGAAGTCTTTGAGAGTACGGCCATGTATGACAAGATCGCCATTCTACTTTTTTTTATTCCTATTTTACAGGAATTATAGTGGGGTAGATATTTATGGTAGTATAAAATAATAGATTAATACTCACAATAAAAACAGCTGCCAGTGCACACGCCAAAGCCAGAAGCAATGAAGTCCTCAAATATAAATATTGTTCCCAAAACAGGAACGGTATTCCAGACGGGAAGTTGGGTAGACCCTTAGCTTCATACTTTAAACACAGTTCTCGAACCGATCTTATAAGAGTTTTAATACTGTCTGTATCACTGAGACCAGATAAATAAAATGGCAGCTGAGCGTATATTAATGGCGACGATTTCTTTATTTCTAAATGCACGTCTTCGGGAGAGTGAATCCATCTTTGTGGTTGAGGTTTCAAATTTCCTTGTGACGCTCCATACGCAAGTGCGTCGTTTGTTGCCCATGCGGAGAGATAATTGTAAAAAGCTTTAGGGTTTATAATCCCATCTTTATCGACCAATCTATGACCGGCGGTTACAAGGGATTTGTCTATCGGATTGTCAACATGGCCAGTTTGGACCATGAGTTTGTATGCCAGAATTCCCTCATCGCTGGCATTTTTGCACCAATATTCCTGGGTTATGCAACCGCTCGCAACCTCCTTGTCGAAGGCTGCTTGTAAATCCAACAACCAATCCCTGAATAAACTCAGCCAGAACTTCGTAAGTCCACCGTTATCGTTTTTTATAATATTTGGTATCCGAACGAACTGATCGTGGTATTCGTATAACAGTTTTTGGTTCGTCGGATATTCGAAATCCCCTTGGGTCACAGCGTACATGTTGTAAAAACCGAAATACTTCTCCTGTCTCGATAGGAACTCATGTTCGTCTGTGTTCTCAGGTACTATATCTGTAAGATCCAGACCGTCTTTAACTTTCGTGGCTCCCCAGACACTCGCTAATATCACTGCTATCACAGCTAACATCGACGTGACCTGGAAATTAGCAAAATTTTTTGTAAAATATGGGAATTTACTTAGATAACACCAAATTTCTTGTTAATAAATAATAACATAAAAATCTCCATGTTTAATACCTTAATAGCGGGACGCATAATGAACGGCGCGTATTGGTTTTTTGCCCATCTCGTAAGAGATAGACTTAGACAGCACGTTTTTTGTTCATGTTCTGTGACATCAGGATCCAATGGCTGTCTCGAAGTGTCTAGCCTGTTATTCTAAAATATACATAATTTCATTACTATCAAAAAAATTCAAATCCAATACAATATCTTATTAAAACCGAAATATATTTCAAATATGCATTTAGCATACCTTATCATTTTTACTGTTTCTCGATTTTGTTCTATCAGGAATTTTCTTTCTAGGCATAGGACTTTCTGGTAGTAAACAACATAATAAATCTGCTCTCGCCGCTGATCTTCGTCGAAGATCCAACGAGATCATCGCGGGGAACACGAGCAACATGGAGCCGAGGTTGAACAGAAGAAGTATTGCGGCCTAAAATAAATTACCTATTAAATTTCAATTCACAAGACATTATGACCTATTGTGCCTATTCAAGGAAAATAATCCATACCTGCAAACAAAAAACCCTGAAAGCTGGTATAGGTAATAGGGCAGCGGCAAGGAATGCCATCACATTACACAATGATGCCAGCAACACACTCAGACCACTTTTCTTTAACACTAGTCCTGTCCTTTCTTCCCTCGGTACATCACCAGCCTGCTCCACATACGTGTGAGTCAGAAGGAACATATCTTGAACACCGAGCCCAAGAGCTAAGAATGGAACTATCTGTGTACTTGACGCGTTGAATGGTATGCCTGGAAACAATAGACAATTATTGGAAATTGATATAGATGACGTCTTTTTAATAATAAAACAAAAAATAAATAAAAAATAATCACCTAATAAAGCACAAAATCCTAAACCAGCAGCTACAGTTATAGATAATAACATAACGCCAGCTATACCGACGCCGGCCTGCGACCGTATGGGATCTCGCCATTGTATTAATGTAACAGCAACATAAATTAACTGAAAATTAAATAAAAAATAAATAAACGAAAATATAAAATAAACCAAAAAAATAAATAAAGGTTTGTTTAGTTACCATAAACATGTATCCTAAAATGATGTTCTTCAATGAAACTTCAGAGAATTTCCCGAGTATATCATTGAGAGTAGACGTCGAAAATGGATAGAAACTATATGCTGCAGATACTGAGCCTGAGGTAGTAATTTTTCTAACTTCCTGTAAAATACAATCAAATTAGTTACAAATACAATACGCGATAGGAAGGTGGGGAGTATAAAAATTGTGAGACATACGGAAGCAAACTTTCGCTGCCAGGCGTCTAAAACAGCGGCTGCCTTCTCTTGATTCCATCCAATCTGATGCACCTTATAATGATCTGACCAGTACTCGTACATTTCCCTCTCTCCCATCAATTGTACTACAGTCTGCAGGGCGCGGGCGCTGCGTAATGCGGATGTGGAATTCCTCGTGGCACCCCCTACTATCAGCTGTTCGGGCCAGTGCATGTACGCAGCGGCAAACCCGTAACAACCGTGAGACAACTCCGCAGCCACATCTGGAATCTATGAACCATCACGTCAGATAGGTGACAGAAATCCCAAATAGTTTATTACCAGCAGGTAAAACGAAATTTACGATTACTAGGAAATTCAGTTGTATATTTTTGATATAATAGTGGCATTGTGGCAAACGAGACTTATTGAAGCGTGCATAATGCGCCCGTATAATGGTAAGGTCCGCGCGGGCGCAAGAACAATGCACGCCCGTCCCTTGGCAAGCTCCTTCGACGAACGTGGGTGGCATGGTTTCACCCTACACATTACTGACCGAATATAGTATATTCGGTATATTGTTGAACACAAAGACGGAAATTATTCTCAAAAAAAAAAGGACAAACTCTTCTGTAGTGTTTAAAATATATAGACAGTAAAACGCTTTATTAGTCAAACGTTAGTTTTAGATAAGCTTTAACACGTTTTCGAGGACCGTATATTAAAAAAAACGGGAATTTTAATTTTAGTATGGGAGTAAACTTTCTCGTCAAGTCTTTGAAATCGAACCAGGTACCCACCATCTGTCGGTCGGCGGACACTTTCATCCTAACGATATAAAAAAAAAATCACAAAAATTTTTGTTGCAATGTATACGTTAGTTGATAAACTTACTTTATATTACAACTTTTATTTACGCGACGCCAAACCAGATGTTAATATGGTATTCATAAAATAACAGAGTTGTAACTCGTAATGCAATCCTAATGCGGATCCGAGGCGGCCGTAACAAATGAATTGTACGTCTCAATCATTGCTTTTGGTACAAAAAAAATATTACCTGTTATTTATGGCCTAACGACAATGAAGACTAAATTACGCGCTACGAAAAGCGTTACTAATTGTAATAACTCATTTCTACACCTGTTTGCTTCAAACGAATTTGTATTTTGTTACCTATATATATACATAATAATAAATAATTAGTAAGATTATACTCACGTGGCCGGATTTTTTGTTGGGCGCGGTGTCTGGACAATGAGGATCGGTGGGATCCAAGCATGGCTTTTTCATGTAGGCGGACGTGATGCCAGCCCGCTTCATGTACGCTTCCATCGTACTCAATGGGAATTGAAACTTCAACTTCTTCACCTCCTCTAATACTTCTAGCGGATTTAAATGCGTCCATAGAAACTTGTGCTTCAATTGACTGAAAAATAATATACAAAAAAAATTAATCATTTATTATTCATCAAAAATAATCTTCTGATTATTTGTCTTTGGTCCAAGTAGGAGTAAAATATTTGAAACACTCACGGTACAAAAATAGGATAATCTGGGCCGAGTAGCTTTGATCCCTCCCAGAAGCAGTCCAATGGTGTTATTATAGCGCAAGGGATTACGTTGTCAATGATGGACTCTATATGATGATAACCTTCAAAGTCTGGTATACTCGGACTGTAACAGAGGTCTTTCAGACGCCACTCGATATCGTACATATGAACTGTAACACGGGTCGCTGCGTGTACCACCTGGACAAAGAATGGAGCATTCATTAGTATGATCATTATGTCGAACATATTTGGTTTTAATAGAATCGTTCATTTACCTTTAGGTGTTCAAGCAAAGCTCCAGCATGTAATAATGAAACGTCTGGATCTTTGGCGGTCTGTATTATTAATTGGTGGGTTGAAGAATCCGCCTCACCAAGAGCCTGAGCTGTGTACTTCAATTCAGCTTCCAATCTGCCACCCTCTGCAAAAAAAATTGCAACTTTAAACGTCTTCATCATTCGAGTTCCATAATAAGTATCCCTTTTATGTCGTCGTGCATTTATTTTGTTGGAAAAACGAAATACTTTATGGGCCATAACTTCCGCGTAAAATAGAAAAGTATGCTGTTATAGTACTCATTATGTCGTCGACCCTTGTCTACTAAAGTTTACTGCACTGTATATTTACAAAGGCAGTGTACATTGTTGATGTTTACAAGAAGTTTACTTCAATCAATGTACATGTGGGTCATAGTGTCATAAAAGATAAATAACCTTAGAGAATATAGACAGACACTTGTTATAGATAAAAATGCACGTCATATATCTCAAACGAGTATTATTTTTTATAATATGCAAACAAACTATTGAGAGGAAATATTTAAAAGAGTAACGGGTAGTCCTACATAAATTCAATCATAATATGTAGTATAAAAAAATAATTATCATAGGTTAGGCTATTTATTTACTTTTTATATATGTACTCACATACATAATAGAGCCTTCATTAATATTAAACTGTCACATTTTTCTGGTGACAAAAAAAATGTTTCTAATTTTAGCATATCCTATTACAGCGTATATGTTATTGGAGTGTCAACACATTTGTTACAGGGGCGGAGTAGAGTCGACAGTTAACACTTCACAGTGAACGTAATTTATAGACGACTTAATGTTTTGTTTTATATTTAGACCACATAAAAACTTCTATACTAATTAAAATAAATATTCAACTAAATAAACGTAGGAAGAAACTTCTGTGGATGAAAGCCTGCTACATAGCTATATTCCTTGTTAGGTATTGACCACATAGGACTAAACATACTCTGCTGGGACATTGAATATATATTGATCATAAAAAACTAGTTTTTCTTATTTAGACTTAAACTTCTTCTTCTTCTACCTGGCAATTTCCCAGCTTTAGCCAGGGTCTACCTAATATTAAGACTTAAACTATTCTGTTTTATTTTATAAGTAAATACCTAAAAGGAAGGTTGATAATAGCATATTTATTTTAAGTGTAACCTGACGTGAGACCATTTCAACGAGATGTTCGTCCTTTATCTAAAGATGTCAAGAATTCGTTCCAATTAACACTCGTCCTGATTTATGTACCGGCTGTATTTTTTGCACTAAATTGGTCGCGCTAAGTGTAAACGGCTATGAGTTTTTTTTTATAGAACATTTAGAATGTTATATCATTGTTAATAAATAAAATAGAATTTTAAACATATTTATTATTGATTATGCTTGCTTTATAAAGTTTTCTTTATACGTATGATATTTTCTTTGGAATGGCATACTTATTAAGTGCTGAAAATTACTCACACTTTTAAGGCTTTTGCATATCGTAATCATAAAGAAAAATATATTAAATAATTAACTTGTATCTATTCTAAATAAGAGCGTCGACAGTTCGTGGAACACTCTATATGTAAATGAACTAAAAGTTCAAACTGTACAAAAACATGATTGACGTTTCAATATATGTATATATATTTTTTTGCAGACCACATGCCAAATGGAACTTCAAATATTTTAAATCATTCAATTAATTTTATTGTACTATATATTTAAATTGATCGTACTAAAATACTTTAGGACCATACATACAAAGATCAGAGCCCTTCTAAAGCATCGAAGCTAAAGATAGCTAGCCTCATTGGTTCCGGATATTAGGGATTATCATAAAGCAAGTGGAATGGCATCGGTCGCAGTGTGACCGCACAGGGCGCCTCTATTTTAACACCTCCTAAGACGTGGGCGCGATTTACGACCAAAATTCTATACAGTCTTTGGGATATTATAGTCACCATCGTGCAACAAATTCTTTGCCATGATGCACAAGTATAAATAACTAATGATATTTTGTGACAAAACAAACTTGAAATAAGCTATCGTGGTTCGTTTAAAAATGAAAGTTAGCGCTAAGACAATGTACATGTATAGAAGGCTAAATAGCATTCAATGTTCAGTGTCATTAACATAATACAATATAAAACAGAATCATATTTGTGCAGCAACACATTAATGAACGGTGCCCGACCAATTCCTGGTACACAGCGACCAAAAAACTGACAACAGACATCGATATGGATTCTCGGAATTATAATGAAATCAATGTATTCCGGCAAAAGTTAATGTGACATAGGTCTTTCATTACATTTACGGTGCGTGCTCGATAATGACAACATTTCTACCCGATGCGGTAGCGGGCGATCAGCGCGCTCCATCGCAATGAATGACGTGCTCGTGGGGGGAGCGGGCGAGCGGCGGGCGGAGGAGGGGGGGGGGGGGGGGTACGTGCGCTCGCGCATGTGGTTGTGGCCACCCGCGTGTAGCCCGTGTGGTCCTCTCCCCGGCCCGCGGCCCCGCCGGGCCCTCTATGCAAATTAGCTCGCGTAGACAACAGATGGATGGCGGAATAAACAAACGCCGTCCTTTGCAGACCACTGCGGTCACTGCACGTATACTAATTATGTAACAGACGATGGTTTATTTCAGTTTAAATTTAATATTATTATCAACATATTTAAACCATGTTTTTATATTGCCTACAACTCAACACATGGAGTTTTAAAAGATGCGATAAAAAAAATAAGTTTAATTCGAATATATTTAAGTTTTAACTAAACGATTGATAAAAATAATGTAGTAGTGTTTTTCGAACTCGGTTCATGCCTTAAAAATTCCACCATTTTAATAAGACCTCTCTTTTAGTGGACGTCGTTGGTAGCTGAACCGCGTGGAGAGCTCAATTTATATTTGATAGAGTCGACGTTGAACGCTCAGCACGACGTCTCCACACAAAAGCGGCCGGACAATCAAATCTCCGTTTTTTGTGTGTCCATAGATGTGTTATACATTTTTTTTTTTTTTTATGGGTCGTAATTTCACGTAGGGATATTTATGATCGGCCGCGGGGCAGCTAATTAAGTTGTTAGGTGACTGCACGACGTTTCGTATTGTTTGACAGAGGCGGCTTTTGTAGCGCGATAAAGCCCTCGCGATCAATGTTTTTATTATATAGACAGTAGCACTATACAGAGTAGATGATACTATAACGTTTTATTTGTTTAAAAAAACGATATACTTGATTATTACTATTTTTGAATTGAATCTATCATTACTTTAAAATGAGGGTAGATCACGAGACTTAGAGTAATTATTTGTTGAAGATGTATTTGTTAAAGATAATTTAATGTTGACATAATGAGGTTATTGTTTTGTAATGATATCAAGTTCTATAGTGTTGTAATCTCTATAAAGCCACTGTTTCAATGATAGTGACTTTATAATTAACATAATAAATGAATGTCATTATAACAAGATGTGAAACGTCTAAAGTGTTGAGGGGTCACGTAATGAAGCCATCATCTCAAGGTTTATGGCTACCGATGTTCGACCAGGTTCCGTTTTACTTTCGAAAAACACGAATCCACATCGAGACAGGTGCTTCCATAAATTTAAGACATCAACGTTGAACCGCAGTTTCTTTTTGAATCTTCATCATTCGCAAATATTTATTAAGTTTATATCATGCTACTGTCAGTCTAATTGGTTTAATTAAATTAAATTACACCATTTATGTTTGTAAAATACGATTCAATAATGACTGTAGTACATTTATTATTTTTTTCAAATGTATGTCGTTATCCTTAAATCGCTCTATATTTTTTTGGCTATCAACATTTTACTTGAAGTTCAAAACACTTCAATTCAGACATTTAACTCGTATATCTAATTTTCCTCAGTTTCCTTAGTAATCTAAGTTTTCTTAGTACAACATTAACAAGAATTTGCCAGTTACCAAACAATGTACTTGAGATCTTTGGTATAAATTTCCTGCCTAGTAGAAACTACATTCTTCAATATAACTGCATTATATTCGAACATTCATATTACGAAATATGTGTACGAAATTCCTTTAAACTATGTATATCTATAACTATCTATAGATATCTTCACACGAGATATCCGAGGTTAAACTTGCTCGTGGCGTTGCTTAATCAAATTCCACGAACAGCTCACAGCCTGTGACTATAGTTTGTCGTTTAAATACTTGCCAAGTAAAACATGGGGTGTTAGTAGTATTACCCGCATAGGATGTCCATGGTTCGAGAGTTATGTTCCGGATTTACTTAGCGACCAACTAAAACTGTTCCTTGGGACTTCCGCTGAGAATTAACTGCAGTTTCTATGACTTTTGGTTCACACTAGCCATGTAAATGCTAAAGTTGACTCACGCTTTTACTAGACGGGGTTAGAGCGACGTTTTATTTACAAATAGAATTTAACGAGGAAGAAGTGAAAATGTCGAGATAAATGATGACACTAAGAAGAGAAATGTAAGAGTAATATATTATATTATAATGCTCTACAATTAAACATTAATATAGGTTCTTTAAAGAAAATCGTAGCGATTTCAATCTTTCTGATTTAAGTCACACATTAACGATTTAGTATATCTTACAAACGGAAAAAAATAACAGAACTTAAAAGAGATAGCTTATTATTGTTTTTAAACAAAGTAAACTTTTAATTTATATTTCAACTGGATCACTAATTAAATTAAAATTCCACATGAGACACAGAGTCTGTTATGCGTACTATTAATTATTTAAACTCGTTAGATAAAACCAATATAAAGGTCCGAATACCTGTCTAAAACTATTTACGAGTAACAATTTTACAAGTTGACAGCTGACCACCCAATACATTCAATAAACAACGCGAGACCGGCTATAAATTGACAGTAAAACGTTAGAAAAGCGAAGCAGAGTTATTTAGATGCAACAGAACCGCGAAACTTGGGTTTATATTAAAACAAAATACAGGTCTATACACAACCAATGAAAGCATTTAAAGAACATTAATTTGGTATGTCATTACGTAATCGTTTTATAATACATGATTATAAATAAAGGAGTACACATCCTGCGCTTTGTATCAATGGCCCCATCTGGACGACTCGCACGTATCGGCCGTAAAGTGGAAGCAGCTACAATTATCCCTTTGAACGGCTGCAGTCGGTGCAATAAACATTTAATTTGTATAACAATGAACCGGACAGATGTACATTAAAAATATGTTCCGGGAATATAAATTCGCCATGTTACGCGGCCCCCTTGTACTCTAACACTGATTCTGATCACGTACTGGCAGCGGAAGCGGCTCGGCTCACAGACCGCGGATTGGTATTCAATGAGATGCGCGCCGTACATTATATACGTACTGTTACAGGTTTCAAGATCGACTGGCGATAGTGACGTCCACTGAATGAGGGATCGTTTAACGTACCTTGAACCCACAGCTGGTCGACCCTCGTGTGGATCTGCGCTGATTTGAGACCGACGCAGAACGTGGATAGAACTAGGACGGCCACGAATAGGACTTTCCCGGCGTCCCCTTGTAGGAAACAGCCCAAGATAAACAGCTGTTCTTGAAGCCAGGCCCTGATCCACAGCGATGTCCGTCCTCCTTCAATGTTACCCTGCACACAAATGAATTCATTAACTCACTATAATATAAATGTTCGCTTACATTCATTACATAACATAGATATAGCAGCAGAGATTTTAAACATCGAAATAATTTCTCAGTTGATTGTGATTAATGAGAGATGCGGGCGGGCCGGCGGCATCTGCGTGGCGCCGAGGAGACGACGGACACTAAGGTGCACCGCACGCGAGCGTACGGTCACTAACACATTATACGGAATATACTATAAGAAATACACTAACATACTAAATAACGATAAAAGATAAAGATAAATGAATTAAAGAAAGGAAAAAGAAAACTTTAAAAAAAACATTATCATGATTCAACTCTAGCGGTTATGTTTATTTCTGGTTTCCTAACTTTATTTCGCCATAAAAAATAATTACGCAAATATTGATAATATGATTAAATAAACCTTTCATATTTAATATTGATTTGTGCTCCATTTCCATAATAATACAAAATTAAATCACTAACTTAAACTGGCCGGTTCGTATTTATTGTACCCATAGATTTAATTAAGTAGGTTAGTGTAAATTTATGTCGGCATGTTGTTTTCCAACAAAGCGATTAATAAGATAAAGCCAGTCCGACGAGTCGTAGTAAAATGCGTGAATTATTAAAGTTGATAACAGAAAAAAATATATATAAAAATAATTATTAAGACTTTTAAATTTGTCTTATAATTCGTGTTTTTATCAAATGATAAGGCTATATATAATTATGTTTATATTTAAATATTACTAAAATATATTAATATAGTACAGGGATAGTTTTCATGCATTTATGCATTTAAGTTAAAATTAGGTGTTTTATATAAAAATATATAGCATGGGCATGCATGGCGTCAGTTTATATATAGTAATGACAGTCATTAGCCATCGTCTGGGCAGCGCAGCCGGAGAGAACCATAGATACGATAAACATAAGAGTGGAGAGATTCCGATACATACACACATATGAGAAACAACATAAACGGTTTATTCCACACTACACCCGGACATACGCTGAACACATGTATATACGTGGAAATAAATAATAAATATATTAATATAATTTCAATGTTATTTCTTTTATATTACTCGTATTATTATAACCAAAAGATTTTATATATGTCATTATATTTATTATATACATGGTTACTATGGTATATAGTTTGGTATTCTGTGTTTGATTTTATATGACAGATTTTTCAATATAATCGTATTAGGATGTATTCGGCTGGATGAATGAAGAACATATCAGTGTAGTCACTCTGGGTGGGCATTACGTCACAGACGGAATGCGTCCGCGCAGCGGGCGCATGTCACGTGGACTGAACTATACAAACGATATTCTAGATTTAATATAACCCCCATTCATATTTCAAATATAGCACTATTGATACACATACATTTTATTATAAAAACAACTGTATTATGAAAATCGTGTAGATGATATTACTTAATATTCTTAAGCTCGGAACACACAAGATTATCTCAAGACCACATATCCGTGTGTGCACATCTTAAAGTGTTGATGATGCAAGCTATATGTTGATCTGCCGGACGTTTCCTGTAGATAACAATCGCTTGTGCTCTCCGCCGCTCCAGATAAAACAGTTTTCATACAAATCTCTACAGTATAATGAGATACAAGATACAAATCTCTACAGTATAATGAGATAGCTAACGACGTGCTTCCTGTCTGCACCACTTATTGATTCAATCAGATTCGCTATGTCCATGCGTTTAAAGCTATTTATATTAAAAACATTAGTTATCTGACAGGAAACGTGGATATAATTTTAGACTTCATATGTTGTTAGCGGCGCTTTGTACGTTATCGTGGGTCGCGGTCGACTCAATTATCTTACATTGGTGGGACCGGGAGCGTTTTATTTAAAGATTTATCTGTCTGTATAGAAACTATATATTTAATATACATTCACAATAATAACTGATTGACCGCATGTGACATGTTATGGAAATAACAAATGTGTATCCACTTATAAGAACTTTAATAAATTGTATTTGATTAATAAATAATTACTTTTTCATGTAATCCTATTTTTAAATAAATATATATTTTTTTAAATTCATATAATATATTATAAGTTAATATTATTCAATTGTTTTAAATTAGTATGAATTGGTATTTCTATATGATCCTGTACAAGGACATTGATCGTAATCAATTGGCCAGTCGGCCACCGGCCGTTTTTGGGTGTCAATGACCAGGCACTTTACGTAATTTATTGTAACACACCAACACTTAAATATTGAAAATGATATATAAATTTAACAAATAAAATCATATTCGTTATAAAAAAATCCTGTTAGTATAATAATGATTCTCAAATCGTAATAAAAGGCCCTATAGAAAGAATCTGAAATGTAAATTTATACGTTACGTATTTGTAAACGATCACAAAAACGTAACTCAAAACCGCAGCGCTAAAATTAGGTCATCTTAACACGCTAAGGAAATTAAGATCTATACAAATTAATTTATAAGAAATTTCATATAAATATTTCCAAGTGAAGTATTATATATGTTATTCGATATATTTTTTCCTACTAGACGCATCCTAGTCGATAAAGACATATGGTTATTTAGTGGATCGGAAGCGAGGTGTATTGATGGGGAAAAATGACAATGTTTAATTAAGTGTACCGGCCACGTGTTGTGTTCAGTGAGCCTGTTATATTATAAATGATTCAAATTGTAACACGACGCCTGTGGTCAGCCAGTGCGAATAGCTCGAATACCTTGCGGTTTGCTCTGATTTTTTAATTAAGGATATTTAAACCGTCAGAGCCATTAAGATGTTCTGTCGATGAAGTTATCGAGTATTTTTTATCGAATTCCCTGACATTTAGGTGATGAATCGTCGGCCCGTTTTATTCTTATAATAATACCCAGAAGTCCGATGCACATTTGAAAATCGTGGGTGTAGAAACAATCGTTTATAGGTTTCCAGTGCAGCTGCCGACCGTGGCGCACGCAATGTTTGGAAGAAGATGCACTATTAGGATTGACACGCGGGGGAAAGGGACGGAAGACAAGCTGCAAGACAAGGAGGCAGCGGATTTTTGAATAAGTTAGAAAGGGACGCGTGATCGGAAACCACAAGATGTCTCAATTCCCCGAGCTGAACGCTGTGCGGTCCTGCATGGGTATACATTTTTAGATGTTGTTTCTTTATTTTTCAAGAAGTTATCGAGATTTGTTGTTACAAAAATTACATATTTATTTATGAAAAATTAATATAAATTGACAACACGTTACGATCATATAGTGATGCCAGAAATTATTTTAAGGTTTCTATAATAAAATTATACGTTCCCACGAACATGCAAAATCGATATTTAATTGCTAAAAATCGTTAATAAAATGCGTTATTTAACAAAACATTAACCCGATATTACATGTTAGCGCTCGTTGATGTCTCTATCGGCGCCGGCGATGCGCGTGCGCCGCGCCTTACCCGCTGAGCCTTAATTGCTTCATTTCGAATACTCATACCACGGGTAGGTGGTAGGTATTATTATACAGCTGTTATTTCAGTTTAAAGAAATAAATCGAACAAATATAACGATAAAACGCTTTAAAGACGACAATTTTGCTAACCTCAGTCGATTCTATACATTATTGGTAAGAAATGTTTTGTATTGTGCCACGGGGTGGACATTGAAACGGGAAGGCCACCCGTATTCATAAGGCCTTCTAGGAAAACGCTACCTTTATCGAAAACGACATTCAGCTGTAGATGGCTTTCAAAAGTCCGTAACGCATTGTAATTTGTAAGACTTTACACTTCAATGGATTTAATTTTAATAAACGTATATATTTTTTTGACTTAAAAGTTCAAGCATTTCCGTGGTTTTGATTTTAAATATATTTTGTTGAGGTAATATATGAATTCATTTGAAAAAAGTATGTTTATGAATCGGTCTCCTTGTATAATAGGACATTTGATAGGTCTCGCGGCTCTAGATCGTATGGCTCCGTTATCAATAAGTTTTACTCTCTGAGCGGCTTGAAGTACTCGCGGCCTTGATAGTACTCACTACTGCCACTAGTTGGCGCCATGGCTATATGCGCTGCCGCGTTCCTCTATTGACATTCGCAGAAAAACAATCACACGTGCAATATGACAATGTAAATTTGACACCGTTAAATTTATACAAATAATGTTAAGTGCACCTTTTCTAGTTCCGAGAGAGCTAATGCGGCGTCAACCCAACTGGTCCGTATGTAAAGATCAGCGCTGTGTCGCGCCTCGGCTGTTGAGGGAGTCTCGTTCGTAGCCGCTATCCGAGGATTCGAAGGAGCCTCGGAATCGGGAGCCACCATGATCTCGGGGCCAGCTCTGTCACCAGTATCCTCATGAAGACGGCCGGTGTCCGTCTGACGGCGCACGATGTCATATCACTCGCCGCCACATAACCACACTACTTTACACTCTAATTCAACACTTCTGTTTATCACTGGCCGAACGAAACACGGAACGATACCGAATTTCGACTATTGATAGCACCGCGACAGCGTCTCGACACTGGCACGATCCGGGCAGTACTGAATCGTGAACTAGCCGAATACATGTACTGAATGTTTGTTGAGCCGCCATCATGATTCGACCGATTACGTTGCCGCTCTGCGACGCGACGACTCCCGAACTCAGCCGAGCGGACCCGAAGCTCCGGCCTGAGGACCACACACGTTATGCATCTGTCTCCCTTTAATTTTGAGAGGATGTGATGTGGGGCAGTAAAATAAAAAGCATTGAATGAAACTGCTTACAAGAAAGAATACGAAGAGTTACGAATTGAATGCAACTTATCAGTAACGTTGAATCAAATCAAATTACTGGCTCATTTTTATTAACGGCGTTGCGTAACCAGTACTATTCTTGTGTTAAGATGTCACTTCAAAGTAAAGTCGCTGTCGGTATATCCAGTTATTACACGGATCACAATTACTACAAAGAGAGAGCGTTTGCTAGTCAAACATTCTTTCTGTATACAGATAATAAAGGCGGATCAAACATTCGGACGTACCATATCATTTTGTTTACAGAGTTTTCTTAGTAAAAAGTCGAGCGAATGCGCCCCCGGCAGGGCGGCGGACCGGCCCTTTGAAGTTACCGACATAAAACGCCGCCGGCGGTGATTTAACTAATGAATTTATTTAGCGGCCATGCCGGGAGACTGCAGCCAAGAGGATCCATCGAGGAAACCATAGAAAAATACAAATCAATCGCCTCCCGACTTAACGTATTAGCATTATCGTTTGTGTATCAGAAGTGATCCTTCGAGCTATTAAAAGCACACGACACGTTCGGAAACTCGAACCATCCATCACAATTATTGACAGTTAACAAAACATTCGTGCTGTACAGCGCTATTACAGAACAAATATAGAATATAATTTATTTACATTCAACACAGACAATATAAAAAATATATATAATTATAATGAAATTATAAAAAGTGATAATATATTTTAAGACCGTTTCCTTATACCGCAGCTATGTTTAATAATTCTGTTGAGTTAATGCCATCATAAATGTTTAGTATGTAAATTGATATAATCCATCTCTTCCTATTCGAGATATGAACATAAAGATTTGTTCCTTCTATTTTATGATGACGCTACCAGTGGATGGCTTTTATTAAAATTATATGGACCTGAATGTGTTTAATTAATTGAATTATGTATTTTAAAAGCTTTTAACATTGCCATGTCATTTCTAATTCAGATATTGTATAGTGATAACAAATTTGTGTTATATTTTTTTTTAATGAGTTATTACTTCTATTATATGAGTTATTAATATGGTGATAAAATACTTTTTTTTGTTTTCTTTAATTTTAATCCCATATATATTAATAGTTTTACGTTTCTCATTCAATTTTATACCATAATACTATAATGAGCAAAGATTAATGAATGAAATACTATTGACGATCCGTATATAGTATAAAGTTGCCAACTTGGACTAAACTACTAATTACTATGTGATATACATATATTGCTGGCTGTACATTAAGTACATAGATTAAATTATCAAGCATTATGAATACTGAAAGAATACTCTACTATCCATGACAAAATTAAAAAAAAAAACGATCTGTCAAAAAACTACATGGCATTTTATTTAAGATCTTTGCAATATACATATATAATTAATAAATAAATGTCTCCATATATAATGGCTATCAATATAGTCGTTAAACGTATAAGTGTAATTCTAAATTATCAATTCCCGCCATACACATTAAGTCGACGGATTGACGAATGCGCTAAACCAAAGCGCCGCGGTTACACTCGCTGAATCGGAGATGCGGAGGTTGTGATGTGAATATAGAAACAGTAGAAAATGTACCGTGACTCTAATTGAGGAGTACATTACCTAATATACATTTAAATTAAATATATTTCAGTACCAATAAAAACTAACTGACTAACTAAGTCAGTGGTGGCCTAGTGGTTAAAATGCCCGCCTCTCATGCATGAGGGCGCTGGTTCGATCCTGGCAAGTACCAATGTGATTTTTCCGAGTCATATGTACTTTGTAATAGTATTTAGACATCACTGATTAATGCATTCCCAAAGAGGGTTGGTGTCAGGCAGGCGGCCGGTCGTAGAAATAATTAGCCAAAACTATTTACAACATGTAAGGCAGACCCTGGCTAAAGCTGGGAAAATTGCCAGATAGATGAAGAAGAAGACCAATAAAAAATAACTAGGACTCTATTTTTTATATATATTATGTACTCTAATTTAAGTTAATACAAGAATTAATGACAATTCGTCAAAGTGATTACAATCACTGGTATCGTTGTCTCTGACAGTTGATGACGTCATAACGGTGACGTCACACCAACCAGTAATCCGTACCGCATTCGATTACAACAATAACTCGAGCAATCCGATTGATATCTTACCTACGGCCGACGACAACGTTATTTTACAATAACCTTCCAGGAATTTAAAGGATCGTAAAAGTATCCATTGAATTAAATGTATCCCGAAGACGAGAATGCAACGAGATCTATCCTTTGATATTGGGCACCGCAAATATACCATGAACAACAAAGTTAATAATGCAGCATACATAACCTTATGACGCTTAAAATAGAGTTTAATTTCCAATAACCAGATACGTATTTCAAGCGACGCTTTACGGTCTCTTTAGGGTGGTTTACCTTGGACATTTTGACACTTCGAGCGAAAACCCAGCGGGACGTCTCTCTATACATCTTCTAGGAACGTCTCGTGGGTCATGATTGAGACCACAACGTTCAACGTTTTAATACAGATGAAGGAACGCTGTAACTACAGTGTACAGCGCAATTTTACAAACAGGACAACGTACAAGCGTTAATGAATAATTAATAGCGGTACGGCTTCTTGGAGGAGCATTTACGACACAGCTATTTTAATAATACTGTGTGACCAGTACGAATTTGAAGAGTTTAACTAAAAAAAAAAACTCAATTGTTTGGAATAAATTGTGAATGGTCTTGTTAATATTTACGACTATCAAACAATATTACCATAGTAAAAAATAGTAGAATCAATTTTATCATATTATTTAATATTAGTCTGTATTTTAAATAAACATACCAAAAACCATAGATTAAAAATATTCTAAATTTAATTTATTTTTTCCATCGTATTTTTTCCATTCATTAATTCAATTAATATTTAAAGTTTAAACGGTTTAAATTCTGACAGATTTTTTCGTATTTGAATACATTGCTCAATATTAAAAACTAAAACGTCAATTATGTACTGTCTTTGTCATATTATTTTTTAAACTATGGCTTCATTCACACTGGAATTTTTGAATATTCAGCCAGTATCAATGAAAGATTTTAACTTTAACTCAGTATATCTGTAAGTCAATACAAGTGCAGCACACTCCTAAAACAGTCGAGACTCGAGCCTAAATACAAGCAGAGTTAGTATTTGCGATTCCGGTCACTGAGTAAAGCCTGCTCAGTAAATTGGTAAAGTGTGTCTACAAGCACGACGTTGACGAATTTATAGCCGTGTTGTAGCGAGCTGAGTGGAATATCAATAAATAATTATAATTTAACATAAGGGCACCCGCATACTATGCTATGATAATTTTGAACATTTAATTTTAATATTTCTACTTCTATCAATATTTATTATCTACGATTGTTTCCGTATGACATCTCGAAATACAATTTACAAAACCACTGAATCGATTTTGATTTGTTTTGATTACTAAGAACATATTTCCGTAAATTTTAATTACACATGAAGTAAATAATCTTGGAAGTTATCGCATAACCATTTATTTAAAACATGTGAATCCTCACGTCTTATAGACCACAAGCCCAAATATATATTGTGAAACTCCCTGAATTGTTAGTATGTAATGCACCAATCGTATTTAACAGTTAGGCATAACCAACTAGACAAATGTTGTCATTAAAAAAAATAATCACCCGAGTGATATTGGCTCCACCATTTTACGAATTTACTCCTTTTAATGCAGTTTAACTTAATTAATTTTCATAAATATGTTTGAATAAAAATATATATTTATTTATCAATATTCGAATTTAATTTAATATTGTCTTTCTTCTAATATATGTAATTTCGTAATTTTTTTTAATTAAAAAGGTTTTTTCAGCATGAATTTGTTATGACAACGCCATAATATTGAAAATATTTATATATAACAATTGTATTACGATTAAAAGAAAAACATTGTTATATATAAGATCAGTTTAAAAATATACTAAAGCAACTAAATACTTAACAAAGTATCATTGTTCTTAGTATGTATACAGTAAGGGGAGAGTGTATCTAAATCATAATATTAACCCAACAACAGTAATGTCAGTCAATAATATTAGATAACCAACGACGTAAGAACCTGTACAACATAAACATGGCGGATTATTTAACAAAACACTCGTAAAATAAATAAAAGATGAACAAGGAACAGTTTCCTTTACAATATGCAAGTGAGAGTATCTTAAACAGCTAAATATTATAACCTCTTTGATACTAGAATCTGATACCAAAGATATCTAAACTTAGCATTACAATAGCATTTACTCATTCTTAAATAATGAAAAAAATATCTAAGCTCTTCTAAGAAAAGACAATTCAGTCTATAAATTTTATTATTAACCAATCACATAACTCATAAACCTAAAACAGCATCAGTCTACAAAAAGGTCATAAAAAAATAAAAAAAACCCATTGAGAGCAGATCTCTTCAAACAATTTTTAATAAACTAACATTGGAAACAGTTTATTGCACGCGACTAACGAAATGGAATTAGCTTCAAATATACGCTTTTTATTCCTAACTCAAATCGTCCGTTCGTCCCAAAATATACCCGACTAAATATATTATAATTTAGTCTTAATAGCCCTTCGTCGTGGGCGGTCGGAGCGGGACACCTAATTGGATAAATTACTCAGTTAGAGATACGATAAGCGGAATTAAACAAATTGTTGCTTACTCGCATTGTGTACAAACAACGATCGCGTGGCTGAATTACAACACAGTAATAACTCTAATCGCATATACGACTTGAGTTCTAATAATGTTCTTAGGATTGAGTAAAAAATGTCATAATAAAATTCAGTAGCTCCTTTTCACGAGGAATTAATGTGAGTGAGGCGACAAAGAGGTTCTATAGTATAGAAACTTTTTTTGCAAACCTATTATCATTTGTATTGACGTCGGTTCGCTGGTATAGGGATTTTAAATATAGTATTAATGCAGCTCTTAATCGATTCTATCGTTCGATTATCAAGTACGATGGCTGGAGCTTGGGACTCGTTGGGTGGTCGGATTGACGTCTCTATACGTTCCGACATGAACACGCATTTAGATGTCCTTATAATTCAGTACATCTGCTACCATGTGTAGGGTAACCATCACCAAAGCATAGCATACACCTTTCATGTTTACCAAAAGATAATTTATGTCACATCTAGTACACTGTTACTAAAATGCTTTCATAAGCAACAAGATACTCATAAGTCATAAATATTAAAGGAAGAATTAGAAAACTATTAGAAAAAAAAAATCTGTGTCATGTAACTTTTTTTTATTTATTTTTTATAGAAATTAATAATATGTTATGAATATTTAAATCATGGTCACACGATCACTGCAATATTCATGATTACCGATATTACCGATGGTTGGCGAATGTAACTAGTTTTTATAACAAACTTAATTAGCACTTAAATGAGCGTTGAAAGCTCACTACAGTTTCTTTATATATATATTTATCCGGTAATAAATATGGATTAAATATATTAATGTTTTATTTACGCTATCAAGTAATAACTGATAACTTCGAATAGATTATTAGTAATCGGGATGATAGTTGATTCTTTTAATAGTACATATGTTTAACATAAAAATTAATTTTATTTTTCACGATCACGCTAAGACTTGACCGGCTTGTATTCATTCAGCTCTATTTTTAAACGTTTCCTGATTATTTTTAAAAGTTTCTTCATTTAAATGTCAGTCACTAAAATTTGCTACAATAATCTACTCTTTGCTAAACACGTTTGAAATAACCGTCATTTGTTTGACAGTTGTCTCAAATCTGACAGTCGTTCAGTGAAGACATATTGCGCAACTGGAATAAATTTGTAAATCGTTTGCAGCGATTTCGTAATTGTGAATATTTTTTCGCATTAAATTGTTTAAAAATATATGCCATCTACCCTCACACAGTTCGTTGGCTGGAATGCTTCTTTGCCAGGAAATGATAACGTCTATTCAACAAGTTGTTGAACAAATCAATTTTAACAAAGAAATTACAATTACCAAATAGTATACAAATATATATTAAATTTAAAAAGTAGGTTTTATTTTTCTTTATTAATAAAAGTTAATATGTCTGTATGTGATTTATGACACCGTTTCTAAACAACGCTTCGTTCGTTGATTACAAATTTGGAGACTTCCAAATAATCTTACTTTCAATATTAGTATAAAAAAGTATCTTTTTGATTTTTGTAAAATGAATATCCTCTTTCCTTATATTGGAACTTAAAAAAATAATCAAATTCGATCTCTTTTACACGTAACCTTCTGATCGCTGGTCCTGATAAAACTTATCTGACTTGCAACACATTCACATCTCGAGTTTATTATTTTATAAACAGAATCTGGATAAGGAAAGCAAGAAACTAGTATATTCGAGCCTCACCTCCATATAAAACCTACTTATAGCTATGGGGAATTCATAAAAAACATCAAGCCAAACAATAACTCGGTTTTATATAAGATTTTAACCACAAAGTATCTTAAACGCGAAGCTTATTCATCGGTTAACAAAAAGCCCTTATAAATAAAAACATAAATAGCCATATGAAGCAATAAATTTGTTTATTGTACAATAAAATAATATATCCAATCGTTGTGGGTGGTCCGGGCACAAGAAGCGGAGCAAGATGTAAGACGCAGCGGCGTAACTCATCAACGTGTTACCGTTGACAACACAATTAATAGCAAAACTAAGTTTATATATAAAACACATATTTATATGAATAAAAACATTACGATAATTGAATTAAATGAAGTTTTATATCCTATATATTTCTTTAAAACTGACTATTTTTATGTAATAATAGTTTTGGTTAGTAAAAAATGAGTAACGATTTTTATAATGACGTTTTCAATTAACGATTTTAGCGATTATATTAAAATTTATATATTTTAAGACTGGCTTAGTAAACTTATCTTTGAGTGTGTGACACCAAACGATTAGATTCTGGTTTCATGCAAGAAACTTGGGCCCAGAGGAGATTTTATATACACTTTATATAATAATATGTTATCTTTAAGAGCCCGATTTCTTTTATGGCACAATGTTTGAACAATTTCTGTTACCTCATTGCATTGCTTTACTGTTACTACATACTTGAAAAAGGTATATGAAGTTGATTTAACTTCATGATGTAATCTATGTTAGACAAAATAAAAGAAGAATTAGGTCAATCTTTTCATTGGTGCTTTTAAAAAAATATATTGTTTCAGGATCAATATGTTGTATATATATGCAAAATTAATGTAAATAAATCCCAATAACAATGGAAAACATACGTAGAGGTACTTTCTAGTCATCTAAATGGGCTATCTTGTAAAGTAGAGATGATTTACTAATCTACTGAAACTCATTTAGAGAATTATCTG